GGGAAAGGGGTCTGGGCGGATGGGGGCCTGTGGCGCCAGCATGAGTGGGCTGCCTCCCACTTGCTCGGTCCTGGGCCTGAATGAACAGGCATCACCTTGTAATTAAAACAAGATGAGAAAAAAACCAAACCCTTGACTGGAGGTAAACTGTCGAGAGTTACGCAGCAGGTGCCAGGTGGATTAGGCGTAAGACACAGGACATCCGTGGGCACATTTGGATAGAATTCGTCCTGCACAGACCGGGACGTGAGCCCCGGGGAGGCACAGGTCAGTCATCACCTTATCCGATACCCAGGCTCTGAGAGGCCCACCTCCTGTATACACCAGGGTGTATACAGGACCGATTGTGAGGCTCCATCAGGGTTACTCAATGTGACATTTCTGGGCCACTGACACCCAAGTGCTGTCCCGGGGCTGCCCGTCCACTGGACCCCACTCCACAGAGAACATTCAGGTGCACGGGGGACGCCCACGCCAGCAGTAAACGAAGGGGACACAAGCCAGTCTGCGCTGCAGTCTCTATTCCTTGGGGCTGAACCTCCAAGTTAAGCGCGTCACCAGCTTAACATTGGGGTTTTCTCCTGTGGTCCACAGTCGTGAGACAGACAGACAGACGGGAGCTCAGGAGCTCAGGCAGCTGCCTGCTTCCACAGCAGACTCCACCGTCCGCGGCCAGGTCCAGCGCCCCCTGGCGCCCCAGGGAGGAGCCACGGGGAGGTCTGCAAGACCTAGTTGGAGCCCTGCCTGGAGCCCACAGGCTGTGGCCGGGGTGTGTTGTGACCATCACCTGCTGTACCCAGAGCTCCTCGTTGCCACTTTCCAGGTGTGAACAGCGTGCGGCCATTGTGAGCGATATTTCCCGTTTCCTGCAGTGTGCTGTTATCTTGCGGCCCCAGTCCCGCAGTTTGCAGACGATCTCACTCCCTGGGGCATTCCCTGGAGGCCCACGTGCACCTGTGATGTCTGCTGTCTGTATACACTCACCTTTGTCTCAGAGGGTTTTTCCCTCAAAACTTGGAGGGTGAGTGAAGGAACCACAATTGAAACGTTTATGCTCGGGCAGCTCTGGGAGATTAACAGAAGGCATGCAGGGAACTGCGACGCACGTTCTTATCGGCCCCAGGTCCTGCTCTGCTGGCGGCTGCGCTCAGGCCCTCCCTGCACTGAGTGAGGGCCTTGCCTGTGGGTCCCATGACGAGATGGGTGGACGTGGGAGCTGAGCTCTGAACCAGCCTGACTCATGACTGCACAGAGGCTGCAGGGAATGCAAAAGCCCAGGAGGTGGCCACTGGTGGTCAGCGTGGGAGCTGCACTGCAGCTGTGTCCAGTCGCCCCCTCACAGTTCTCATGTCAGGCATGTGGTTGGGAAGGTCTCAGAGAAATCAAGGTCCTGAGACTACCAGGGAGAGGCTGCCCTACATGTCCAGGCCCGGCTCTCTCCTCGGTCCTCACTCTTCCACAAGTGTCACCATCTTGCCTGCCTGCTGAGAAGTCAGGGGAGACAGAGCCACCACGGTCACCTGTGAGTCACAGGCACCATGTGACAGAACCATCACGGGCTCCATGGGCTGCGGACCCCCTCCCATCCTGCACGAGCTGGGATCAGAAACCCTCCCTTGGACAGTGCTTCCTGAGCTCCAGTGCCCAGGGCGAGAGGAGGTTCCTGGGCACCAGGAAGGCAGAGTCTCAAGCATGTTACATACACACTGCCCCCAGAAAATCAGAAAAACAGTTTATTCAGAATATTGCACTGCTGGGTGGCTGCATCAGGAAAGCCTCACAAGGGCAGAGGGCTGGCTGGAGTGCTCAGGGCGGGCGGCAGAGGGTCACCCCTGAGAGGGAAGCCCCCGAGTCTGGCAGAGCCTGCGAAGCACAGTCACAGCCACAGCAACGGGTGTGAGCAACACGCGCACGAGCAGCTGACGGAAGCTCAGAAACACAGCCCTCAGGCACACGCAACTCTCATCTGCTTGCCACACGTATGTCGCTCACATGCTCTCCAAGGGGAGCCGCGGGCACTTGCCTAACTGCTGCCTCTGCAGAAGCCCTGAGATGCTGATGGGTGGCCTGGGTGCCAGGGCCGGCGAGCCCCCTCCTCCCACTCTGCCTGCTGCATGGGGGCCTAGACTTTGGGAGGACCCCCGGCAGGGGATCTGCAGAGGTGGAATCCTAGGAGCAAATGCAACAAAGTCACCAACGCCTCAGTGACTTTGGCAAGGCGGTAATTCAAGTGTGAACTATTTTTTAGTTTTAAAGGCCATGTGTTGAGTCAAAAACGCATTCCCAGTGGCCAGGAGGAGTGAGGTCCTGTGCTGTGCTCAGGCTGAGGGGCCCGGGGACAGCAGCACATGCAGCGCCCGCCAGGCGGCCCCTCTCAGGAGGCCCGTCTCTGATGCCCACACGCGGGGCCTGCGAGGCTGGATGCACATCACCAGGGCCCCATGTCTGCTCTATGCTGACTCTCCCACTGGACCCATCCTCTCGGCTCATGCTAACAAAAGCCGCGTGTTACAATCGGCCGATACCCGCAGCGGGCCAGGTCCAGGGTGGTGGGGTGGGGCGAGGAGGGCCATCAGTCCTGTCAGGGGCAGGCTGTAGTCAGGCAGTGGGTGGGGACGGCCTTGTGCATCAGAGCGGTGGGCACAGGTGTGGCTCTGGAGAGCTGGGGGAGGAGGCAGGAGGCCTCTGGCTGGATGGTACCCGATGACCAGGTGTGAACATGGCGGATGGCATCGGGAGCCATTACGGGGCTCTAGGTGGGGGTGAGGGCCGCTCAGACAGAGCCCTCTACAGACACCTGGGCGTGCCTCCATGGGCGGAGGGAAGTGGGCCCATGTCTCAGACAACAGGCTTGGGTCAGTGGCAGCCCTCGGCCAAGCCAGCTCTGCTTCTTAACTAGCTTTGGGGGGACACAGACATGCCCACTGGCTCCCCGGTAGCCTGTGACCCTGCACAGAATGGCCTGTGGACCCTGCTCTGTCCCTGCGATAAGATGCCGCAGTTTTCACTCACAGGGCTGTGGCTTGAGTTACATTTCAGCTTCAAAAAACCAAACCATAAAGCGGTCTACACAATACAATCACAAACACGTAAAAAGGGGTGAAAGGCAGCCCACTGGGATGCTAGGAGCACTGTCTAGTGAGTCAGGTTACGAGAAGCTTGTTCTCACACCTCCCCCTTTACACATCCTTACAGAGAGGCCCAGGGATCCTACCTGAGAGCCTGGGGCACGCTGGGGCGACCTGGAGTCAGGCCGAGTGGCTGAGGGCTGGGGCGGGAGACGCTACCTGCGGGGAGGGGGAGAGGGGTGAAAACATGAACACTGCGCTGCTCCAGGGAGACAACACACGCGAGGTCCCGCCCACGTCCCCACCACTGCGTCCCTGCACACCCGGTGCTCTGCCCTATGGCAGGAACACCACCCATGCGACAGGCGCATGTGGAGCTCACACCTCAGCCTCCACTTATGTGCACCAGAAATATGCAAACCACTGACAACCAAGCAGCCTGACGAAAGCCCCAGGCAGTGCTGCTCAGCGGGCCGAGCTTCAGGCTGCCTCCACCTCCACTGCGTGGCTGGCTCAGGCATGGCCTGTAGACCGGCTGGACTCTCCCCTACTCCCTGAGTCTTGGCTCCTGTCACTCAGTCCAGAGCTCTCAGCTCTGAGGAGAGGGTGGGATCAGTGGCCAACTAGGGCTAAGGTGTCATCTCCCCCCATCCCCTGCATTCTGGGTTTATAGGGAACTTCTTTTGAATGCAAAGCTCCACTATGGCTTTAGTGACACCAGAGGGCACATTTGAAAAGGTTGCTGATTTTAGTACCTGAGTTCCTTTGCAGCCACATTTTGGAGAATCTTAACAGATGAAAGGCAGAGTAAGGAGGGAAGAAAGCAGCTACAGGAGCTAGGTACCATGTATCCTTTCACAACTGCAGAGCCTGAATCAGAGAGGGTGCGTGCCTTTCCTGAAGCTGCACAGCACTAAGTGGCCCTAGGTTGTGTGGCCGTGGAGGTGACCCAGGGGAGCAGCTGAGAACCAGGAACTCAAGCATCTCCATAGGTTCTGCTCATCCTGTTTTATTTTCTGTATTTTCAGATGGTTGGACACCTTGGGCCTCACTAATCCCAGACACACTGCCCCTCACTGGGCAGCCCAGAGGTTTGCCTGTCAGGACCTGCCTGCCCATAGCCTGTGCTCTAGGCCACCTCCTCCGTCTGGTGTCACTCTCTGCCTTAATCCCCGAGGCTGGGCTGACCCTGAAGGGCAGCCCCTGCACCCCAACACCACTAGCACCATGCAAACCAGCTAGGGCTCAACCTGGCCACTGGTCGCACAGGAACCTGCCTCCTGCTGGCGCTGGTGTCTCCCCACTGGCCCCGTGTGGCTGCCACCTGTTTCCAGGTGGTCATCTCCTGATCTGCTGCCCTCCCCAGCTGGATGAACAAATCCCGGGTGCTTCATGCTCATACACACGTGCTCAAACCATGGAGTCCAGGAAGCAGTGTCTTAGTCACGCTTCACAGTAACTCGTGGGAAAACTGTGGTCAACAGAGACGAGGAACCTGAGATCTCAGCAGGTCAATAACTGTCTGGGTCATGAGAGCAGTTCTGAGGGCCAGGCGGCCCCAGGTTCTCTAACCGCCCAGGGGTCGTGGGGCTCTCTGTCAGGGACTCCCTGGGTTTGGACTGAGCAGTGGGTGCACAGGGTCAACTGGCGGGCAGAGGGGAGGCAGAAAATCATCCAAGAACCTCTCGAGAGTGCAGGGCCTGATGGAGGGGATGTCCCAGTGCCTCAGCCCCATAGAGACAGAGACCAGAGAGAAGCTCGGACCACAGGACACCCGACCTGCGGCTGCGATTCCTGCTCAGGAAGGCAACACTATTTGACACACTTTAGAAAGATCTCCCTCTGAAGCATTTAAGCTAAAAACACTTGACACCCAAGAAGGTGGTTTTGTCACATGGAACATAGGAGCCTCATCTCCCTGCAGCACCAGGTACATAGGCTCCAAGCACCAGAGCTGGTGGTTGCTGTGTGTCACCTGCTATGTGTCACCCACCAGGGGCAGGGCATCCAGGACAGTGTTAAACAGGGAAAGTGACAGCTGAGGGTGACCCTCGGGTATATCCTGATGTGAACAGACATTCCTTCAGGGATCTGGGAGCAGGGGCTGACTCACCCATGCGTCCACCCTGAGGAGGGCTAATCAGGGAGACTCTGGCTGGGCCAGCTGCTAGCTCAGGCTAAGGAGGGAGAAAGAAAACAGTGGGTATTATTGCAAAGTGCCGTTCAGGATAGGGGGAGCCTCCTCCCCGAGAACACAGCCCCTCCAGCCAGATGTGCCTGGAACGCAGCCCATGAATGCCCCACTGGGCCCCACCATGGCCCCGGCACCCACAGCAGTGAGTGGGAGAGGGAGTCACTAGGTGCTAAGAATTTCAGAACAGAGAAAGAGCAAACAGTTTTTGGCTGACATTAGAAATTTTAAAACCTGGAATAAATCCTCATTTTTGGTGCAAAACTGTCACCTGGAAATGCAGGTGTCTATGACCAGCCTGGTGCTGCCATTCACAGGGGCTGTATGTGCTGGGCCCTGCTCCCAACCAAGCACATGCCAGTGTCATGAGGTGCTCCCACCCCTGGGACAGGAGCATCGAGTGACGGAGGCCACTCTGCTCCCAGAGCTTGTCCACTAACCTCACATGGGACCTGGGTGGGGTGTGGACATACAGATGCTGCCCAGAGCAGGGCCAGGTGCCACTTCTGGATGCTGTTTCTTCATTTCCACAGCCCATCCTAGCCTCGTTCCTGTGGCCCTGCACATGACTAACCCTGTCATCTGCCCAGACTCAGCCACCACCACCACCACCACCTCCACCCATACTCCTGCCAGGATCTCGGTGGCTGTCCTCCTAGCTCCTGTGCCCCGGCACCCCCACCCCAAGGACCCTGAGCTCCACCAGTTCCGAGGCAGCCTCACTCCAGGGCGCCCTCTGAAAACACCTCCACCCCAGTCCTGCCTCCAGCTCCTGCCCGCCATCGAAGCCCTAGCCTTGGAGGACCGAGCTCTCTCTCTTCCCCAGGCTCCCTCTGTGGCCAAGTGTGCCCTGGGATGTCCCTCACAACGCCCACCCGCAGCCTGTTCTACACACACTACCCTCGTGCCCAGTGCCGGCCAACTCTGAGCAACCGCGACAGCCTATGGAACTCCAGCAGAGAAAACTCTCCACGTGGCAGGGGCCAGAGTCACTACTGTCAGACCAGAACCGGTGTACCATCTGCTCTCACCCTGGCTTCCAGTAAAAAGGACTTGTGTTTACTGAGCCTTTCTCATGTCCTCTGTTTGGGGAGAACCCAATAACAGGTGAAGTGAGCAGAACTCAAAGGCCAGAGCACTCAGGACGGTAGACACGACCCAGAGGCAGTGGCAGACCACCACTGGGAGGGGACAGGCCTGGTAAGATGCTGCAGGAGCACCGGGAGCAAGGTATGCCCAGACTGGGCCACGTGAGGACCACTTTCAGGAGCATGTTTGGGGGCCTCAGTCCAGGCTGCACTTGGGAGTTCAAGGGGTCCACAGATGGCGGCCCACAGCCTGTTTTTGTTAATAGTTTTACTGGATGCAGCTGCGCCCACTGTCCCCCATCAGAGCTAAGTCCTGGGGTGGAGACCCTGGCCCACAGTCTCTACCACCTACTGTCTGCCCTCGACAGAGACACATGTGAACAGCTGCTCAGCACCTCACCGAGGGGTGAGGACAGTTCACTCAATTCCAGTCCCTTGGCCACAATTTCCCAGGGACCTCCCAGTGACATGCAAATCCATCAGCCCCTCAGTTTCTAATCTCCCATCCGAGGCCATGTGTCAGCTGAGGCCATGGTCCCACAATGTGGGATGCCTGGAGCTGTGTGTGTGGGGGGGGTCCCTGAAGAGCTGCTGATGAGGCTGGAAGGCGGGTGGGGCTGGGGCACAGGTGCCGATGCAGAGAGTCTTGGCCACTCTGGCCAACGGGAAAGGGTGCTGTCTGGTAGACCTGGTGGACAGGAGGCAGGGGGACAGGGGGAGATGGGGGGCAGTGCTGTAGGCTGGGCATGGAGAGGAGGGTGAGCTGGCAGCCGCTGCCGAGGACTGGGCCGTCTCCTCTGCATGGCGCTGTGCCCCCACCTTCTCCCTAGGACCCAGGTTCCTCCAAAGTCAGGGCCAGACTGCCCCCTTGGAAGGAGCACCCCCTCTCACTAACCAGCACCTCATGTTTACCACAAGACTGTGTTCTTATTTGCAAAGCACCTGCAAGTAGTGAGCCCTACACCATGCGGGTCACAGCAGCCCCTGGTGCTGCCCGAGGCAATGCGCTGTGTCCTGCTGGCGTGGCCCCTGCGCCCTCAACGCTGGTTTCCAGCCCTGCTGTGAGCTGCCCGTGCCCGGGACCACATGTGGCCTGAGCTGGTGATGACGGCAGGCCTAGTTGCCCTGCATTTTGGGCCACATGTCCTGTGGTCTTATTTCTCTCACGGTGAAATTGTCCCCACACTCCTGACCCAACTCTCCCCTTGACAGGCTGTCAGGGGCATCCTGGATTCACCCAGCACTGTGTCCACCACTTGCCCAGACTGTGCCCGAGCCATGGCAGCCATGGTTGAGAATGAATGGCCACGTTTGTTAGCACTGAGAAGCATGAAGCCCTGAATGTCCAGAAAACACACAACATGGGGTAACAGGCTACTCACCCGTCTCATGGGGGAGGGCATGAGGTCGACCTCCATGGGCTCCACTCTGTAAACCGACAGCAAGACACACTTACTGGGCCTGAGACTCACAGCAACTGACATGCACGGTATGCCTGGGACCTGCCTCCACCTTCCCTGTGCTCACGAGCTACCACTCAGGCCCTGGGCCCTGCCATTGTCAAATCCCTCTCACGCTCTTTACTGGCTGCAGCTGTCTGTCAAACCAAGCACAGCCCCACACAACTGGAGGGGCCATGCCCCAGCGCCAAGGCCCACACGGCCTTCTTGTGCAGGTGGCCCTCCTCTGGCCGCTGTCTCCGGCTCGTCCAAGTCCTGCCAGTCCTGCTAGAGCCACATCTCATTTGCTTTCGTTAGCACTTGCTGCCTGGACCACCCACTATACACAGTTAGTGCTCAATAAATGCTAGCTCCTTAACTTACTGGCCCAAAGGTTGACAGAGAAGCATCGCTTGGGCTTTCCCACAGATGAAAAAGGGAGGGAGGGA